CCCCTGGAATTTAACCAGGCTACCCCAAATGCATACCAGATGATAGCCCTGTGTCTGTGCAACAACATGACACCCAGCCAGACACAACGTCCCCTTAATTTTAGGGAGACATTGAGCTTTGAAAGACGGGTAAGCCCAGGTACAAAAACGCAGCAAATCTGCACTCTAGCACAAATCATAGTCTTTACAACAACCCCACCCCCTGGAATTTAACCAGGCTACCCCAAATGCATACCAGATGATAGCCCTGTGTTTGTGCAACAACATGACACTTAGTCCGACGGAAGCCCCCCTTAATTTGAGGGAGACATTGAGCTTTGAAAGACAGGGGTAAGCCCAGGTACAAAAACTCAGCAAATCTGCACTCTAGCACAAAGCATAGTCTTTACAACAACCCCACCCCCCTGGAATTTAACCAGACTACCCCAAATGCATACCAGATGATAGCCCTGCGTCTGTGCAACAACATGACACTTAGATCGACGGAAGCCCCCATTCAAAAAATAGTAGCTGGCCCAACGGGGACAACGGGCCGGGCTGTTGCACCCCTCGTGCATGTTTTCTGGAATTTCCAATGATTTCTGTCAATTCCATGAAGTTATTTGGAGCCCATGGTTAAGAGATGAGGGTGGTTGGTCCTGAAGAGCGAGATTTTTATTTTTACACTAAAAGTATTACGGCTTTAAGCAAATTAAGTTTTGAAAGATTGCCTGCAATGTGCTGGACTTGACTTAAGATTTCAGGCAACCCGGTTTTCAAAACTTGAGGTAGATTTACATAATCGCAAATCTGGCTCGCGCACCCAACTGATCTGATAAAAAGAATAATGATAAAAATAAATGATAATAATAATAATATGGTCCCTTCAAAATGTAGACCGCAGACTGGGTACAAAATGCAGAATGCAGACTAAGTACAAAACGCAGACTGAGAAGAAAAAAACAGTTTTCTTTTTTTTTTTTCTCACCAATGAAACTTAAACTGTGCATAACTAATCATAATTTTTATGGAAACGACCAGCTTGTGATTAGCGGCTTCCATTGCGCATAAGTTACAGAAGGATAACAATAACAAAACAACACATAGAAACAGTTTACCTTCTCGAAGGAGTTCACGAGTTTGGCCGTGCAGGGTTCCAAAAACCTCGAACTAGCAACAGACGGCGATTAATGTTCTCCTGCTAATAGCATTTTTGCTTTTCCATTTCGCTTTCCATTTCTTCAGCTCTTCGTTTCTTACAGTTATGACTTTGCCTTTCGAGTCCGAATACTTTAGCGTGGCTGGGTAGGCTATGAAGACCCTGCATTCTTGCTCTTCTAGCTTCTTTTGAAGATGTTTCTTGGAAGGAATGAGCGCTTTTCGGCGTTCTTGGGTGTCTTTTGCCAAGTCAGCTCGAACGGATTATCTTTAAGTCTAACCGCAGCATTCGCCAGAATCTTCGTCTTATCCGTGTATTTTAGAAAGGCTACGTGGATCGGTCTTGGACTCTTTCTGTTTTTGTTTAATTGCGTCGGAGTACGATGAGCACGCTCAATTTCGACGTATCCAAACAATGTTTCCAAGCCCATGTGCGAGGCTATGAAGCCTTGTATGAAAGCCACACAATTATCGCCTTCTGACTTTTCCGGAATGTTATAAAACACCAAGTTATTTCTTCGGGACCTGCTGCAAAGATCTTCAGCTTCTCTTTCTAGGTCTTCTAGCTGCTTTAAATGTGCCTTCCGCTTCATACTTTCTTTCATTTCAGCAACGTCGTCGTTGACTGCGTTTAAGCCTTTTTCAAGTTCAGTTACATTGCTTTTTATATTGGTTAACAACTGCGTCGCTGAGTGGAGGTGGGTGCCCGGGATGTCCAGGGGCTTCCACCTATGGCACGGCCAGCCCCTAGACAGAGTTACGCCCCCATGGCTGGCAAACCCGCGCCCTCCAGCCATGAGCCCCCACGCCAATGGAACCAGGCACCTGTCACACTGATTAACAGTGGAAGAATTAAAGGGGGGAGGGACGGGGGTAAAAGAATGATCCAAAGGCTAAACGAAGAGAATGGCCGCCACGAAAACACTGTACTGAGCACATGGAGGTGATGCAAGCAAGGCTGACCGCGCTTGAGCCCAAACGACCGACCGCTGACCACGCTCGCGCTCCTTGTTAACTCTGTTAAATAAATATTTATTTAACCTCATTTAACAACTGCGTCGCTGAGTGGAGGTGGGTGCCCGGGATGTCCAGGGGCTTCCACCTATGGCACGGTCAGCCCCTAGACAGAGTTACGCCCCCATGGCTGGCAAACCCGCGCCCTCCAGCCATGAGCCCCCACGCCAA